TGGCTTTCATGTTTTAGAAAGTCTCCCCTAATTTATTCTTTTTCCCTCCTAGAACAGTCCCCCACACCTGACAGCAGCAAATGTCCAACAGTAGCTCCATCACCCAGTTTCTCCTCCTGACATTTGCAGACACAAGGGAGCTGCAGCTCTTGACCTTTGGGCTCTTCCTGGGCATCTACCTGGCTGCCCTCCTGGGCAACGGACTCATCATCACCGCTGTAGCCTGTGACCCCCACCTCCACACACCCATGTACTTCTTCCTCCTCAACCTTTCCCTCCTTGACCTGGGCTCCCTCTCCACCACTCTCCCCAAAGCCATGGCCAATTCCCTGTGGGACACCAGGGCCATCTCCTACGCAGGATGTTTTGCCCAGTTTTTTCTATTTCTCTTTTTTATACCGGCAGAGTATTTTCTTCTCACAGTCATGGCCTACGACCGCTACGTTGCCATCTGCAAACCCCTGCACTACGGGACCCTCCTGGGCAGCAGAGCTTGTGTCCACATGGCAGCAGCTGCCTGGGGCAGTGGGTTTCTCAATGCACTCCTGCACACGGCCAATACATTTTCACTGCCCCTCTGCCAAGGCAATGCTCTGGACCAGTTCTTCTGTGAAATCCCCCAGATCCTCAAGCTCTCCTGCTCACACTCGGGCTTCCTCAAGGAGGCTGGGCTTCTTGTGGTCAGTGCCTGTTTAGCATTTGGGTGTTTTCTGTTCATTGTTGTGTCCTACGTGCAGATCTTCAGGGCCGTGCTGAGGATCCCCTCTGAGCAGGGACGCCACAAAGCCTTTTCCACCTGCCTCCCTCACCTGGCCGTCGTCTCCCTGTTCATCAGCACTGGCATGTTTGCCTACATGAAGCCTCCCTCTATCTCCTCCCCAACCCTGGATGCTGTCGTGTCATTTCTGTACTCGGTGTTGCCTCCAGCAGTGAACCCCCTCATCTACAGCATGAGGAACCAGGAGCTCAAGGACACGCTGAAGAAACATTTTCAATCACTTGTCTCTCAGCAGCAATGAGTTGCCCATGGCTCATCACAAGCGATTTCCCATTCTCTCAGCAACCTCCTGGGCTTTGGACATTTCACCCAGGAGAACTCTTTTTCCTCAGGAATGTCTGAAGCCACTCCACTTCTCCAAAAGCAGGATCCCAGCCTATCTGACCCAGAGGCCTTTGGACTTGTGTTTGGCACGATGGTACAGCCTGCTGTGCTGTATCTCTGCAATAAAAGGGCATTTCCTCAGTGCTCGTGTCTGGAGGTTGGAGGTCTTCTTCCAAAGCTGCAATTGGGGACAGGCTGAAGAAATACCCGCCCTGAGGCCGTGCTGCTGTGCTTGGGTTCTCCATGGGCTCACGGAGCAGTGTATGGGCTTGGATTCTTGTGCTGTGGAGAAGGGCTGGCCTAGAGGGGCTGCTGGCAGTGGGCTATAAGGATCTGTTGGGGAGAAGAGCAGCAGACAGGGAGATGCTGGCCTCCATCTCCTCATGCCATGGCCCACCCCGGACCTAGAGCTGAGGGGGTCCCTCAACCACCCTGTCTGTCTCCTAGAATCTTTTGTGCACTTCAGGGGGGCTGGGGCTGTGGGGGGAGTGCCTAGAGCTCTGCAGCACCCTGAGGTTGACAATTTTATGGGGCCAGCCCAGACTGGGT